AGATCAGCCTCAAGGTGAAGGCCTGGGCCTTCTCCAGTCTTTCCCGAGTATGTACATAACACTGTAACTCCCCTTCACCTTCTAGATTCTGAGGGGTAAATAAGAATGGTAAAGTGCTATGGAAATCTCATTCACCAGCTTTTTGTTTTTAAGCCTTTTGATTATTCTACTGTTGGTCTCAAATGTTAACTACACTTCAATCTTGAAGCTGAAATATTTGCCTGCAACTGTTCTGAAAAATATCTCTCTTTTCACCCACAAATAAATCTTTTTTTCCCACTGCACAGGCTCCGGAGGCAAATCAGGTGTCTGGTAGACAATCTGCTTCTGCTAAGTGCTATCTTTCAGGGAACAACCCAACAAGTCAAGTGGTGACAATGACTTGGAAAAAAGGCTTTGAAAGACCTTTATCTCTTTTCTACCTTTTTAGCTCCTCAAAGATTGCAATGGGAATGCTGGCTGTTAGCTTGTTCAAGGATACCAGAGAGCTGAATTGCCCCAAACAAAATGATAAGAATTCAACAGTTGCATATTGATATCTTCAAATTAGTTCTTCAGATTACCAGAAATGGATTTAAAATTTTAAAGTCCTTTATATATGTATAACACAAGCTTTTCTGTATGTACAAATCCATTGTCAGGTAAGTGGAATAAGATATCTAACTTATACATAAAGCAATAATCCTTATCAAGAGGAGGGTTCACAGATGAGAGAGAATTTAATGGGAGAGCTTAATGGAAAACTTACCAAGAAATCAGAAAAGTGGGAGATGGGATAAAACAAGTTAAAATGCCATAAAGCCCTCTGTTTTCCTAAGAGAACCATCACATTGATTAAATGCATCATGGGCTTTGAAAATAATTGGTTAAATATTATACCTCTGAAAGAGGTGATCTTGAACTCTGCCAGGTTTTTTCCCCCCATGTGTTTATGGAGAAGCAAATTTGGGGGGGGGGTGGTTACTGATTTTACAGACAACTTTGCTCTTGACTGTGGCTGTCACACTACAAAAAAGAGAAGTATACTGTTTAAACTGTACAACTATTCCACCAGAACAGTGAGAAAGAAGCACAAGCCACTGCACAAGAATGAGATGGCTGAGAAAGCTACAAAGCAATACAGACAAGTGTCTCAACATCGAAGTGGTTTATAATATAGTTTCAAGGAAAAACACCTATCATAAAAGAGAGAAGACAGAGTATCAGTGACTAACATTCATAGGAACATGCTAAAAAAACCCCTAAACCTGGAGTGATAAATGTTAACTTCTACAGAATTTCAGAAAAGAGTCTCATTAGGTTGGGAAAAAACCACACAAAGAACAGGGATCTCTGCTTGGGTTTGGAAAGCACAGGATAGTGAAAAGATAAGTGAAGAGCATGCCCAAAAGAAAAGGATTTAAAATTTTAAAGTCCTTTATATATGTATAACACAAGCTTTTCTGTATGTACAAATCCATTGTCAGGTAAGTGGAATAAGATATCTAACTTATACATAACGCAATAATCCTTATCAAGAGGAGGGTTCACAGATGAGAGAGAATTTAATGGGAGAGCTTAATGGAAAACTTACCAAGAAAAGGGCTAGTTGTTTAGATGTGGGTCTGCGGGCAAAAGGGTGATAAATCCTGGCCGTGCCGCCAGGGCAAATCTGCCTAGCCAACAATTTCCCTAAGTAAAGATTTACTGGAACACGACTATACCATCCATGCACTGTTGTTGAGGGTGTTTTACAGCTGTAGTGAGTGAAGTGAAAAGTTGCAATTGAAACAGTGTGGCCTACAGAGCGTAAACTATTCACCATCTGACCATGTGCCTGGTCATAGTCCAGGCCTTCATCTTCTGCCTTGTCCACACTCATGTAAGTACCCACAGATAACAAAAGCCACTTAAATTACTTTCAAAGATTTTAACAAAATAAACTAAACAGTGAATTAGTGTCTGGTGGAAGGAAAAAAAATAAATGTCAAGGATGACTCTAAGGTTTTGAACTTTTGTGTGTAACTGGTTGAAATACGGTAATCAAAACTTAGAGTACCTGCAGTTAAATGGGACGGAATATAATGAATATGCCTTAGACATAGTTTCATATGTCAAACTTTCAACTAGTAATTAAAAGTAGAGATAAATTACTTAAAACTTGTGATAAAAGGCAGAGTGGTGGTGGGAGCTCAGAAAAAAAGGAAATATATGGAGAAAGCATTAGGACCTACTGTACTGAGTGGAAGGGCAGAGGCTGGCAGTGGTCAAAGTAGAAATGGCCTGGGGAGAAGATGAGAATCAGGGCAGCACCAAAGTGGTTCTAAGCCAATGAAGGTGTCCTGAGAATGGACAAGTGGGACCTCCATTTGTGAACTTCTTTCCATGATCCTGGTCATAAAACAAACTGAATAAGAACTAAGCCAAGTCTCTCCACAAGGTCAACATTAAGCCTAAGTGCTGAATTTGATTTTCTTGTCCAATTCTATTTGCAGCCAAAATCATGGAAAGAATTAAGTGTGCATCATACCATAGCAATACATGCACACCTGCATCTTTAGCAGCGCAATGTGTAACAGCTAAATCTCAGAAACAACTGAAACGCCCATCAAGTGAGGACAAGATAAAAAAGGGGAAGTTAACGCTTAATTTGTTTTTCTACTTTTTAATGTTCTATGTATTTGTTTGACCAAACTTACAGGTTTTTATCTGGTAATCTGAAGAACTAATTTGAAGATATCAATATGCAACTGTTGAATTCTTATCATTTTGTTTGGGGCAATTCTGTATCATTTCTAATGTTTTTTCCCCTTATTTTTTTATATTCTCTTCAAAAATAAAATAAATTTTTTAAAAATGTGGTACTTTTATAAAATGGAGTATTATTCAGCTACAAAAAAAGATAAATTTGAGGTTTTTAAAAGTAAATGGGGGCAACTAGAGACCAAACATGTAACTTAAATAAATCAGACTTGCATATGTACACATGATGTCTCTAGTCTAAGAAACTGAAAGATTAAGATTAAATAAGATCCACAAGTTATAACAGACACTGTGAAAGGGAAAGGAAAGAATAGCTGGAATGGAAGAAAGGAGAAAAGAACACACACACACACGCGCGTGCACACACACATGCATGCACACAATAGCTAAGATAACTGTACTACTCATTTCTATTAGTTCACTGAAACAACAGTGTTTATATTGTTTGATCAATTTTACACATTTATATCTGGTAATATCAGCAACTACTCTGAAGATAATGCTATGCAATATAATAACCACTGTTAATTTTATATCTTGTTTTGAAATTCTGTATCTGTTTTTTTAATTGTCTTTAAAATAAAAAAAAATGAGTTCAGAAACTGAGGTACAACTATACAAGGGAAAGTCTACAAAGGGAAGAGCAAATGGCTAAAAGTCAAGTGGAAATACAAAGTATCAGACTCCAAGGCAGGGCAGTTAATGTTTTAGATGAATTTCCAAATTCAGCATTTTTACCTTTAAAACAGAAATCATGCATAGGATCAGATTTCATATTTACTGATGGAAAGGTACTTGACTTTCCAATATCCAATAGACTCAGCTTTTATTACCAGGTAGCAGTTTGAACAGAGCTAAAGAATGATCACAATCTCTGTGAAGAATTCCACCCACGGAATGGCAGTGGCGAGGGCAGGAAGAGACAGACACATGGTCACAGTGACTGATGAAAACACAAACGGGAAAGATGCTACACAGGAATATGGAAAACAACGGAGAGGATTGGAAGGATGACCAGGCACAGTGGTCATTTCTCTACAGTTGTCTCATTAAAGCCACATCCCTTAACTAAATCAATTAATTCACTGTATTGTAAATCTCTGATTATATGTGAAAGGCCTAACATGTTCCTCGAGTGGGTTTTTTCTTACTACTTATGTCATTATGGACTAATATTCACACAGCAAATAAATATTAATTAAACTACTATGCTTATATGTATTCTTTATTGCAAGATCCTGAGAAAGCTTACTCTGAATTAAAAATTATTTTGTACCCTAATAAAATACCACTGCACATATTAGCAAAATACACAACTTGTAGATTGACAGAGGAAGCAAAAGAAAATTAGAGACAATGGATAATGAATAAAACATAAACTACACGGCCAGGGAAGATAGCTCAGCAGCATAAGCATCTGCCTGGCAAGCACAAGGTCCAGAGTTCAATCCCTGGTACCAAAAGAAGAGTAAAACATAGACTACAGAGAGAAAAGATTCTCAAAAGTTTACATGTGTTAAAACAAAGTGACAAACATCCATTTAAGAGCTAAAATGATAAACATTTATAACGAGGATTTCTTGCAATAAAAAGCAGAAAATATTATTCAAGTAGTATCATTAAAAGACCAAAAAAACAAAAAAAAACAAAAAAAAACAACAAAACACCTCAGTGAAAGTAAACAGGGTCTCTAGGATCTTTTAAGAGATCAATTAACAAAGCAGGCAATGAGATTAGATATGGAAATGCTACAGGGAGTGCGCAGTCTTCAATGACTTTAAAAGTTCATCCACTTTACAGCAACTAGTTTACCTCAAAACCAGTATTATTCATAAAATACATCAGCCATGATATGTAAAACATATTGATTTCAAATATATAATAAAGAGGTAAATTAAAAGATAATGAATAAAAGAGCTAGAGCCACTGCTTAATGTGGTATTATGCACCTGAGCCTGCACTGGTTGTGAACCCCCAACAAAAGTATAAAAGGTTGAGGTGAAACAGGCGAGATGCTCAGCATTGGCCACTAGATGGCACCATCGGCACAAGATGATTGGGGGTGGAGTGGAGGGATCAGTGCCCAGTATGAGCAATTAGCTGAAAATCTGCACGACTCTCCAAGATGTGCTTTCTATTGGATTATTAATAAAACCTTTAGAATCAAATGGATTAAGCATTAAAAATTCATCAACCAATTCAAAAGTATTTATTATAAAATGATCACTAAAAAAATACAACTGTACTTGTCCACTCACCTTGACTACATTGTCTCCTGATTGCCCATTATTTCGTAAACAATCTAGGCAGATAGCAATTTGTGGGTCACTTCTATGATAGTCTTTATCATCCTGGTTTTCATCACCTTCTTCATCTGCTTTAGGTTTGTCAACTTTCGAAGTATCATCTATATAATTTTTTAAAAAGTCAGCTATAATTCAAAGTTTAAATAAAACCAAAATCAGACTTAAACACGTGGCATATAAATAACACAACTGCATTTCCTGATGCATTATTTTATTCCATGTCTTTGCTAATGTGTTAGTTGTGCACTGCGTTAGGCCTGAAGGAACATCACCGCAAGTAGAGGGCTATCATCCCTATCATAATGACCAAGTATAAAACAAAGTAAACAAACAGACACATCACATGATGCAAGAGGCAACGCCAGCTCTGTGGGCACATCCAACAGAGGCAATTAACTCCAACTCTGGGGATGAAGCAAAGATTTGGGAAAATTTCCAGATGAACTATCTCTAAGCTAAAACTTGAAATAATTGCTAGCCAAGCATTATTTTGAAAGCCCCCGCCCCAGTGATCTGCCTGCCCCTCTTTATGACTGCAGGGAAGCCTAATGAGAGACCGGGGGGGGGGGGGGGGGGGGGGGAAGCTTGCTTTCTTCTTTAGATTTTTAAAGAAACTAGGTAGACAAGAACTGCCTTTTATGAAACAAACTAGCAGCTCCAACGAAAGATCCAGATTATCTACCTAAAGATTAAATATCCTAAGTACTTTTAAAAAGGAGAAATGGGAAGAGAGATAAAATTTATAAAGCAGGCTACTGCCCTTTAGAAGTTAATCTGATACAAAAGGTCACTAACTAAACCTACTAGGTAATTTCTGACGACTGTTCCCCGTGTTTCTGTCCTGAGAAAGCAGTACCAGTGAGAACGCTTAACCGTCCCACGTTACCCACACTTGTGCCACAGCACTGCCATCCGACTGTGCTGTACTCTTACATAAACAAGGCTTTAGTTAAGTCATTTGGCTTCTCTGCCCATTTTGTTGTTAGATATTAAAAAGAGCCCCTTGCCACCTTACTCCAGCCATCAAAACTATGTCCAAAAGCTGCTGTGTAGCAAGTCAGTTCATCATGAGCCTGTTCCACAGATAAAAAAGGGCAGTATTTTTCATCCATCTTAATGATCTTCAATACACACACGCTGCACTCACACAAGAATATATGAAAGATCTGAATGGTATTTAAGATATTTTGAATAAAATTTTATATCTAAAGAATAAATAATCCTACTTGCTTATTATCTCATAGAATTCTCTGTACTCACAATATATACTAAAAAGCTTTTCTTTGACAGGTTATGTTTTTACCGAAATTATTAAAAATCACCAAACGGTCAGTGTCTAGAACCAACAGGAGAGATCTAGACACTGGCAAGGTGATGGAGAAACTCCAGTAAGCACACTGAGGTACTTCTCAAATTCTCAGGACGTGAATTCGTGTCATCTGGGCTCCACCTACGCAAGCCTCACTCCACAGTATTAGAGCACAGCAAATCACCGAACCCGGCTCTCAGTCACATCTCAGTTCCCTGTCCCATTAAATTGAACTTATAAAATAAAGTCTAAAAATGACAGAATCCTGACTATGTAGCTGCAAGCTATTTCTTCAGTTTTGCTGTATGTTAATAAATGACTGCTGTAACCACCTAGTTAGCTTTATTTATCTCTTTTTTCTTTCCCATCCTAATGGCCAACTACTCTATCCAACTGCCCTCAACTGGACACCAGATTTGTACAGATTTATATAAAATCTAATGAAGAGAAAAAATAAAAGCACATGAATTTTGCACAGGAGAAATTTGAATTTAAAAAGGTATTAGTTTACTGAGACAACAAAAAGTTCTGAAGTCAGAAAGAGTTGACAAAAAGTTAACCAAGTTGAAAGATGCTCTTAGACACACATAAAAAGTTACCTTGTCCATTTTCTTGAGGTTTATTTTTCTTCCAAAACTCAGATTCACGCTCAAGTTCTTCTAATGTAAAAGAAAAAATGGAATACACAAACCATAGTAACAATCTTGAAATCATTAACAGAAATACTGATTTCAAAAAATTGCAAGTCTGTAAGAACTTAAAGGGCAACTTACGCTCTCGTAATCCAGGAACGAGCTTAAATATAATTTCCTCCAATGTATTATCCAACCTTCAGAAAGAGTGAAAAGGAAGAGAATATACTAACAATGAAGTCATCAAAATTCACTATGTAAATAGTTCCACATTTATATCATGTATGTATCACAAAATACAGAACAATTATTTTAGCATATCCAGTATACCAAACCCTTCTGCACATGGAACAAAACAGTCTGTTGTCTGCCAGGGTAGCCTGTCTTACAACAATGCTCCAGGTGCTAAGCTTTCTCTTTACACCCTCCCTTGACTACGGGGTGGGGTCTGTTTTGCAATCTGAGAACACAGTCTTGAAACTTGCTTAGACCCACAGACTACAGCATAAATGACAGCTATGTTTAATTCTGAGCCTAAGCTTCAAAAATATGCTTTTGCTTTTTTCTCTCTCAGAACCCTGCCAGCATAAGAATAAGCACTGAGGATGAGACACCACACAGAGCACCAGTACCTGCTCCCCGGGGCCATCTTAGATGAGGCCACAGACAGCCCACCTCCAACATGGGGAAGAAGCCAGCAAAGGGCAGCAGAGGAGCCTTCCCAGTGGGAGCTAATGCATCTGCTGGGGAGCACAACCACCAGTCGATTCCTGACTATGGGGAATAATGAACGCTCACTTTCCCAAGCACTAGTGTAGGGTGTCTCTTGTACGTCACAGGAGCTGCTAAGTCCACTCCTGAAATCTCTACCAAAACCTTTGCTCTTTCCTAAGATGAGAATCATCTCCATTGCTCTTCTCTGGGAATGGAGACCATTTAGTTATTGTGCCTTCCCTGAGAAAAATTTAAATATTTATCTTAAAATTTTCTTTTTCTGCTAGACAGCTTTTTCTTTCCATGACTTTATTGCTTCACGTTCTTCTTGCTCTTGCAACCCCCACCTTTCACTTAGTTTACTTCATCCTGCTCAACAGTATTACTCTTCTCAGACTTCAAATACTTTCAGACATGCAAAGGTTTCTCACATCTAAAAAGGGGAAAAATTGCTTTTTTTTTTTGTATTTTAGGGAAGGGCTTACAGGGTGTTCAGGGTCTCACTACTAAATGGGACTCGTGGTGATCCTCCTGTTTTCAGTCTCCCAAGAGCTCGGATTACAGGCGTGGGTGCCACCATGCCCAGTCTGAATCTCTGCCTCAGAGTGCCCCGGGATGGGGGGGGGCACACAGCAGGCCCAGGGATCAAAGCCCTGCCTGCTCACAGGCACTTTAATGCTAAACTATTTGGATGCACTAAACCCGTTGTCTTTCAAAGCTACCAAATGAAGAGAATTTGAAAGCATAACATCACATACTCTCTGTTTTGCTTTTTCCCTCCTGACCATTCAAAGTTATCCATAATTTCCTTTGTAGTAAATAGGTTTTAAAACTTTTAAGTTGAAAAATGTTTTAAAATAGAATTTTTAAACAGTTTCAGTATTATGTAGCCCAGGGGCTTTAAGTGTACAATCCAGCTTGGTCCTGAACTCAGCGATCCTCTTGCCTCAACCTCCTGAGCCAGGACTGCTGATGTGAGCCCCTACACCCAGCTCTAAATTGAAAATATTATAAATTTATTTTTAAAATTAATTTTCTCTTATATTGTTGGGTGGATACTTGAAAGTTAAGATGCTCTCTTGAAATTTTACTTTTTTTTTCTTTCCTATTTGTTGTTTGTTACTGAACAGCTAAATAAAGTTGTTCCTCAGTGTCAATGGGTGATCGGTTCCAGGACTCCCCACAGATAGAAAAATTATTAATTTCTTATATAAAAAGGTATAATATTTACATATGGCCTGTGTATATCCTCTCATATACATTAAATAATCTCTAGGTTGCTTACAACACTTACTGCAATGTGAATGAAAACATTCAATGGTACACACCATTTAGGCAGCACCATGGAGCCCATACATGCCTAGTACAAATGCAATTTTCCCCCAAAATACTGCGTTCTCTCGCCGCCTCTTTCTCCTTGAGACTCCCTCCCCTCCCCTCTTCTCTTCTTTAATCAAATTTCACTTTTTTGCAGGCTGAGTATTGAGCCCTAGGGCTTGTACATGCTGGGCGAACGTGTCGCTTCTAAGCCACATCTACAGGCCCCCTTCAAATACCTTTGCTCTGTGGTTGGTTAAACCTGTGAGCGCAGAACCCACAGACACAGAGGGTTGACAGAACTTTCACATCTATTGTTCTGCCCACTCTGCACTCTTTGAAACCCCCCAATGGGCTGCTTTTTTGAGGAGTACCTCTACAATTATGGCTTGAAAGTACGATAAATGCAGTCAACTTCGTCACCGGTCACCTCAGCTACCTCTTCTGTGCCAAGACTGCCTATCAACCCTCCTGCAGTGAAATGCTGAACACCCTTAATCACATTCTTAATTTTTTTTAAATTTAATTTAATTTAATTTTTTCCCATAATTTTATTGATAAATAGCAATGAGACAGTTTCAAATCAAATTGGTAGGACAGTTTCAGTAATTAACACATTGCATACATTCCTCCCAGTGGTTAACTGCTGTACAAGATGCAGACACGATATCCTATCTACAAACACCATTAGAACAAATCACTCTATTCATTAAGAGAATGTAACTATATATCTATCCCAACCACTTTGAATACACAGATACAAAATGGACATTCAT